ATCAATGAAACAAAGAGCTGGTTCTTTGAAAAAATAAACAAGATTGATGGACCCTTAGCTAGACTCACCAAGAAACATAAAGAAAGGACCCAAATAAACAAAATCAGAAACAAAAGAGAAGCAGTAACAAATGACACCACAAAAATACAATAGATAATCAAAACATACTATGAACAATTATACGCCAACAAATTGGACAATTTAGGCAAAATGGACAAATTTCTAAAAGCACCGTTTCCCAAAACTGAACCAGGAAGAGATAGAAAACTTGAACAGACCAATAAGACTTTAAAAAAATTGAAGATGTAATCAAGAAACTCCCAGCAAACAAAAGCCCGGGCCCAGACAGCTTCACTGGGGAGTTTTACCGAACATTCAAAGATCTAACACCCATTCTCCTCAAACTATTCCAAAAAATCCAAGAAGACAGAAGACTTCCAAACTTATTTTATGAAGCCAACATAATCCTAATTCCAAAACTGGATAAAAACACCACAAAGAAGGTAAACTATAGGCCAATATCACTGATGAACATAGATGCCAAAATCCTTAACAAAATATTAGCAAATCAGATCCAGTGATACTTCAAAAAATTATTCATCATAACCGAGTGGGATTCATCACAGGGATGCAAGGCTGGTATAATATTCTCAAATCAATAAATGTGATATATCACATAATCAAAATAAAAGATAAAAACCATATGACCTTATCAATAGATGCTAAATAAGCATTTAACAAAATCCAGCACCCATTTATAATAAAAACACTCAGCAATGTGGAAATAGAGGGATCATATCTCAAGATAATAAAGGCCATATATGAAAAACCTACAGCCAACATCATACTTAATGGGCAAAAACTAAAAGCATTTCCCTTAAGAACAAGAACAAAACAGGGATGTCCACTTTCACCACTGTTATTTAACATAGTACTGGAAGTCTTAGCCACAGCAATCAGACATAAAGTAAAATAAAAGTGATCCAAATTGGAAAGGAGAAATTGAAATTGTCATTATGTGCAGATGAGATGATATTGTACATAGAAAACCCTAAAGACTCCATCAAAAATCTACTAGATTTTTAAATTTTTTTCTTTTCTTTATTAGTTTTATAGAGAGAGGAAGTAAAAGGGAGAGGAAGATAGAAACATCAATGAGAGAGAACATCAATTGGCCGCCTCCTGCATGTCCCCCACTGGGTATGTGTCCTGACAGGGAATCGAACCAGCAACCTCTTGGTACATGGGTCAGTGCTTAACCACTGAGCCATACACACCAGACAAACAAATCTAGTAGATTTAATAAACGAATTTGGCAATTAATGTCAAGAAATCAACGACATTCTCATATACCAATGATGAACTCACAGAAAGAGAAACTAAAAAAACAATCCCATTTACCACTGTGGCAAAAAAGTTAAGATACCTAGGAATAAACTTAACCAAAGAAGTATAGTGCCTCTTCCAAGAATGCTACAGGTCATTGAAAAAAGAAATAGAGGAAGATATAAAAAAGTGGAAGCACATCCCTTGTTCATGGATTGGAAGAATTAACATCATTAAAATGTCCATATTACCCAAAGAAATCTATAAATTCAATGCAATCCCCATCAAAATACCAATGACATATTTCACAGAACTAAAACAAATACTCAAAAAGTTCATATGGAACCAAAAAAGACCCTTAATAGCCACAGAAATCTTGAAAAAGAAGAACAAAGTAGGAGGGATCATAATACCGAATATCAGGTTATACTACAAAGCCACTGTAATCAAAACAGCCTGGTACTGGCACAAGAACAGGCCTATAGATCAATAGGCATATAGAACAGAGAGTCCAAAAATCAACCCACATCTTTATGGTCAATTAATATTTAACAAAGGAGGCAAGAACATACAATGGAGTAAAAGCAGTGTCTTCAATAAATGGTGCCCAGAAAATTGTACAAGTACATGCAAAATAATGAAACTAGACCACCAAGTTACACCATACACAAGAATAAAGTCAAAATGAATAAAAGGCTTAAATGTACATCATGAAACCACAAAAACCCTTGATGAAAATATAGGCAGTAAAACTCTGACATCTCACATAGCAATATTTTTGCTGATACATCTCCTCAGGCAAGGGAAACAGAAAAAAAATAAACAAATGGGCCTATATCAAACTAAAAATCTTCTGCACAGCAAAAGAAATCATCAATAAAACTTTTAAAAATCCACTTAATGGGAGGACATATTTGCTAATGATACATATGATAAAAGATTACTCTCCAAAATATATAAATATTGTATACAACTCAACACCAGAAACACAAATAATAAAATGGGCAGAGGCCCTGAATAGACACGTCTCCAAAGAGAACATGTGAATGGCCAACAGCATATGAAGAAATGCTCCACATCACTAACCATCAGAGAGATGCAAATTAAAACTACAATGAGGTATCACCTCACACCTGCCAGAATGGCCACCATCAATAAAACAACAAACAACAAGAACTGGTGAGGATGTGGAGAAAAGGGAACTCTCGTTGGGATGTAAACTGGTGCAGCCACTGTAGAAAACAATATGAAGTTTCCTTAAAAAATTAAAAATGGAATTGCCATTTGATCCAGGGATCCCACTTCTGGAAATATATTCTAAGAATCCCAAAACACCATTCAGAAAGAATATGTGCACCCCTATGTTCATAGCAGCATTATTTGCAATAGCCAAAGTCTGGAAACAGCCCGAGTGTCCATCAATAGCTGAGAGGATAAAAAAGTTGTATACATTTACACAAGGACTATTACACAACTGTAAAAAGAAGAACTCTTATCTTTTGTGACAGTATGACTAGGCCTGGAGATTATTATGCTAAGCAAAATAAGCCAGTCAGAAAAAGACAAATATCACACAATCTCACTTATATGTAGAATCTAATGAACAAAATAAACTGACAGACAAAATGGGACCAGAGGCATGGACACATGGAAACCAGCTGACAGATCTCAGAGGGGAGGGCGGGGGCCGAATGAAAGAAGGTGGAGAGATTAGCCAAAGACACACATGCATAGCCTACGGACACAGACAGCAGTGTGGTGAAGGCTGGGTTGGGGGGGGGGGATTGCTGGGTGGAGGTGGGCAAAAGCTGTGGGTGTGGGGATATGGGGGACATCTGTAATAGTGTCAACATTAAAAATAAAATAAAGAAAATATATGCTGGTCATTTTTAGTCAAAATTGCTAATAAAACTCATACTTCTAGTTTGAGGCAGATTTCAATTATAACCACTTCAAGCCTTCTGCAGTCTCTCAGGCTTCCCACAGCAGAGCACAGTCTCCTCTGCTCTGGGGTGGACCCTGAGTATTCTCTGTGGCACTTCTACTCCTAATGATATATCATAGAAGAATGCTCCCCCATGCATACTGGCTCACACATACAGAAATTTCCATAGCAGCAATATTTATGAGTAGCCCCAAACTGAAATGATGACATATTTAGAGTATAATAGATAAATTGTGACTTGGTTATTCAATGGAATAGGATTCAGCAATAAAAATGAACTGCAGCTACATGCTGCATCACTGATGGGGCAATTAACCCTATAAACCAACACATCAAAGAAAACATGCTACATAATTACCTTTCACATAAAGTTCAAAACCCGTTCAGTGAGCAGCTGGCAGTGCAGGGCTGCCGCATGGGAGGGGCCTGTGGCCGGAGAGCTGACACTGCACCTGCATGCAGGTGAGCGCTGAGGCCATGAGAGTAGGGAGACTGTCAAGGTGAGAAGCAGAAAGAGCAGCACTGCTGATAGCACCTCAAGAATCACTCAGCTGTGCCACCAAGAGAAACAAGTTGCATGAGACTGATTGGGCGGAAAGCCATCAAAAACGACTTTTATGAGAAGAGAAAGCCCTTGAGAAGAGTAAAAATGGACAGAGGTGGCTGATGAGCCCAAGATTTCTTCCACTGTTGCAACCCAAGAGCGTTCCCCAGGGGTGCAGCTGAGGAGAGGGGTGCTGGGAGCTCACTCACAGCTAAGGTGGCTAGGGACAGAGTGACCTTGGCCTCCAGGTCATGGAAGTGAGGTCAGAGCTGCAAGCTGCTGTGGACATATCCCTGTTCATTGTTATTTCAGGGGAGGTGACGGACACTCATGAGGTCAGGGACTGGGCAGGGGCCAAGGCACATTTCATAGCTCCATACAGCATCCACTGGATAACGTTTTATATTAAGTTCTAGCAGAACATTTCTGGTAGGACTCTAGCTAGATACATGCAAACATGGGTTCAACGACCATCAAGGACATGCAAATTCAAGACCTCTCCTGCATATAGCTAGCCAAGAATAAAAAAGTTGATTGTAATGGAGTCAAGAAAATAAAACTGTCTTAATAAGCCACACATCAACATTTTGCAAAGTTCTTCGAACACTTCTCCTGACACATTAGAAATTTAAAGCCATTCTCCAGGTTATGATTATAACCATCACCATCTCCCCTCTGGTTGTATCACCTCCAAAAATAACCAATATGCTCTGCACAATGTTAAGAGAGCATTCCAAATTTGTGTGTATACGTTTGAAGGTCTTCTGCTCAATATCAGAATTCAGCCTCTAGGGATAATTTTACAAAGATACATGATAAAAATACTGATAAACATTTCATTTTCATATCAAATTATTTATAACATGCAACCTAAAAGCTGAAAATCACAAGCACATGATTATAAGTGTTGAGCAATCAGATTCAGTCAAAGAACACTAGTGTTTTCTAGCATTCCCGTGCAGAGCGCCTCCACGTACAGCCACCTGAACTCGCAAAGCCTCACGGAAGCATAGCCCACTGCGGGGCTGCTCCCCCATCTGTCGCCCCAGCTGTCCCCTCACCTCGCGCTGAGCTTTCTGTGGAGCACCACCCCGTGGCCTCACACCAGCATTTAGTGCGACTTGTCTCGTGTGTCTCCTCGCCGTCATTTTGGAGACTGGACAGCCGTCCCCGCGGGAGCATTACCTGGAGGCCTCAGGATGAAGTAGGCTGCAGACACACCAGCACGACACGTGAAAGGATGGCCGTAATCTTCCCTTTTCACTTCCAGGATGGTTACGTTCACTGTGTAAAACATATGTTCCTGAGAAGAAACATAGATTCTGCGAAAGAAAAGTCAGTCATTAATAGGAGTCACATTTTATCCACGTATTTTGTAACCTTTCGTCTGGAGCAGCAAGTTCCTTCTAGAGACACGTTAGGCCATCAGTTTTACCCCGAGAACACTTCACAGTGTCTCGGAGAGCGGGGTGTCTTGTGTGGTTCTAAATCTGCGTCCTCTGGGGGACGGTGTGACAGGAAGCATAGTTCTGCTCATTACAGACATCCTCCTCCTCCCGGAAGGACCTTCCGCTCTTCCTCTCGGCTCATCCTCGTTTGTCTACACTGCAAGGCCCACCCAAGCTCTTCTGCCCTGATTTCGCGAGTCTTGTTTTGCACCGCCCGCTTCCTCCCCGCGTAAACGGGGTTCACAGCATCGCATCAGCTCACGGCCCTGCAGTCTCCCCGAGACTGCTGTGTGGCCGCCTGCTCTGCTGCGCTTTCGGACCACCGCAGGCCTAAGAAAGAGGCTGGGTAAGCGTGGCTGCCAAGATCGGTGTGACTGCCTGCAGGCCTGCTTCCCGCTCCCCTGTCGCGAGCCCCGCACGCTGCTCTGCACCGGCCGGGCCCTCAGCGCACTGCGCCGGGCTCTGGAGGCCGAGGCCAGGCCCTGCAGCGGCGGTGCTGACGCCAGTCCTTAACTGCAGAGTCTTGCTGCTGTTTCCAGAAGCCGGAAAAACAAAACACCTACTCGTTTCCTTCTTGGATTCGCTGGGACTCGTTGTAGTCAAAGTTCACCCAAGTGCCACGGACTGTCCAGCCTCGTAGGTTTGTATTATCCCTCGAGTCTGTTATGTTGCAGTTTACGATAAGGGTGGAGCCTATAAAAATCGCATTCACAAACATGAAATAAAAACTCTACCAAAAATGATCTGGTTAACAAATACGCCTTGTTTTTGAGCCTTGAAGATCTTTTGATTTCCAAAAGCACGCTCCTGAGGTCAGTGTTAATCTACTTCACTGGACAGAGACCGGAGGGACAAGTGACCTTGCTGTCTTTACCATGTTTCATCTAAAGAGCCGTTTATGTGTTTTATGCTAGCCTAGTGTTTGATCTTTTGTGATTTCTTCCAAAGATTTTGTTTTGAAAGTACATCATTCTGACATTAGATAAATTTTGTCATTATTTTTTAATGTCACTTTCGTGGTTTTATTTATATATATTTCTTTAATTCATCAAAATGTATTTTTGTATCTGATATAAGGTAAAGAATAAACTATATATTCTTCAAATTTAACAAGTTATACTAACATCACGTATATACTATATTTCTCTTTCCCTGCACATTTTTTCCAATTTTTATTAATTTATTTTTGTTACAGATGTTTCTCCTTTCCTCCCCCTAGACACCCTCCTCCCATCCCACCCCTGTCCCCACCTGCACATTTTTAGATGTCTCAAATCTCTTTTACTGAATTTCTATATATTCTACCATCTGTTTATTTTTTGTTTTTATGCTGCTTTAATCTGTCTATTTGTATGCAAATGTCAATATTTATTATAACTTTATAATACTTTAATATACAGTATGTTTCTTCTATTCGATTATTTCTTTGCTAATTCTTGCCAGGAAATTTTTGCATAAATTAGAAAAGCTTTGTCAAGTTTCAGGAAGTTCAGTGGAATTGAGTTGGTGTTATATTAAACTCGCACATTCATCTGGGAGAGACAACCTGCATTTGATATTGAGTGTCCCAGTCAGAAACATGACAAGAAAATCACTAAAACTTGTCTTCTTCAATGTCCTGGTTTAAAATGTTGCATTTTTTTTTTTTTTTTTTAAATGTAGGCAGGGCTTTCAAGTTTCCTGTTCCTTTTATTCCTTAATATTTTGCTATTTTATTGCAATGTTGAATGTAACTTCCCCAATTACATAATATCTGATTTCAGGTATATAACAATGCTGTTAACTTTGAGAGTTTATTTTATATTGAAATACCTTACTAAAGAATTGCTAGTGATTATAGCTTTTTAGAGAATTTTCTTAGAATTTCCAAGTAGATCTCCATAGATCATTTAAAATAATTATATGTTTACCTTCCTCTTTCAAGGTTTACATTTCTCGTCTCTTTATTGTCTAAGCACAATGATTAGAATTTTCAAAGACAGGAATGGGAAACAAGTTAACTGAGAGAGTGAGACAGCAGATACACTTATCTTTTCTAGGGGTTTATGAAATCCACTAGAGAAGTCACGTGGTGAGGGACAGCAAATATCCTCTGTTACAGGCATTCTTGTTTCCATGGAAGTTTACAAGACCTTCGTTAAAGCATGTAGGTCCAAGGGCTTTGAAACAGTATTTATCTCTTTTCCACTTATTGCTTTATAAGCTTTCTCATTTCTTTCTTTTATGTTTGAGTTTCTCTACCTTTGGGGGATTATATTTCCTAGAGTTTTCTCTATCTTCTCTTTTAATCCTCCCCTCACCCCACCCTTCCCCGTTCCAAACCTTCTATTCCAGAACCAACTCTGGAATTTATTATTTAATAAATTCATTATTATTATTATTTTTTTACTTTTATCTTTGTTATTTTCTACCATGGGGTTATTTAGTAGTGCTTTTTTATAGAATTAAATGGTCAGTTTATGCACTTTAATTATGTCTACATTACTATTGACAATGATAATATTTGTATCTTGTTTAGATTCCGCATTGGCCACATTCCACCTTTTCACTGCCATCAGCGTCTAAATCATCTGTAACTGTGGCTTTGGATTAAACCATCACAACAAAGTAGCAGAAGATACATTTGTTGATTTCCTCTTCTGGTACTCTGAGTTTTCCATAGATGTCTATTAGCGTGATTTATTTAATACATTATTCTTATCATAATAATAGAATCTTTTGGATCCTTAATTTATTAACAGATTAGTCAAATCCACAGTATGTTAATATCTCCAACTATAATCAAAACAATTATATTGTCTTATTATATTATTTTTGTATATCTGAGAATTTTATCTTCAACTGCTATTTGACACATAACTTTTATTTGGGGAAGTATTGTAATTTTTATTAGTATCAAGTGATTCAGTTTTTCATTTAATTTTTTGCATTGAAAGACATTTAACATATTGAAAGATTAATATTGCCAACCTGATTTCTTTGTGTTAATTCATACAAGGTATATGAATTTATATTTAATCTTCTAGAAGTATATTTGAGTTATTTTTAGACTTATGTCTTGAAAATAGCATATAACCGGATTGTAGTGTTGGACTCAACATGAGCATTTGTCTTTTAATAAGACTTTGTCTAATTTACTTTTTTCTTCAGAAAGTATTCAACATGTTTTTATTTTACTAGTGATTACTTTAAAATTTGTAATTATAACTTGAGCTCCTTTTTCTTCACTTAGATCATAAACTGAGACAATGTTTACTGATCCCTTTCTATATAAAATAAGAAATATAACATAACTCTCTCTACTCCTTTAATATAATTTCCAGTGCAAGACTATATAATTCAGAATTCTTGACCAACATTATATTAGTAGTTTTGTATTATGTATCATCTCTTTCAGTAATTATTTTAAAATTTTCATTGCCTTTGCATAGACACATTTACATTAATCATTTAGACCAGTGATTTTCAACCCTTTTAAATCTCGTGGCACACATAACTATGAAAATTCAGTGGCACTCCAAAAAATATATTTTGTGCTGATCTGACCAAACAAAATAGGTATAATTTTGATTCATTCACACTGGACGGCTGTAGTTGTGTTGGCTGTTGTCATTTTTTTATTTGACAATCTAAGGGAAAAGATCTCAGTGCCTCTGACTACATAGTCAGGTACTGCATGTTTTAAAATGTGTTGTGACACATAGATTGAAAAGCTCATTTAGACCCATGTGCTCATTGCCAGACCTTTGATACCACAACTTCCCTGGACTCAGCTCTCCGGACTCGTTATTTTGATGCCTCTCCTGATGAGCAGGAAAACTAGGTGTGTATGAAATCTGTCTTCATCCTTGAAATTCAAAAAACTCACTAGGATATATGGACATAGTGATTTCTGCCCTTAGTGATTTCAATGGCTTTCATAACTCTACTCACCAAGTTGTACTTCAATTGTATTGTTTATTGGATAAGTTATTTTAGGGATTCTTGTTCCACATCCAACATTTTCTGCGAAGAAACCATACCCACATGAAATTGCATTAGAATCACATATGATAATTCCCAAATACTTTAATGTAATAACATTTATTTATTTATTCATTCATTCATTCATTTTATCCTCACCCGAGGACATTTTTCCATTTTCTGTTCAGATAGAGTGGGAGGGAGAGAGAGGAAGAGAAAGAGAGAGAAACATGGACGTGAAAGAGACTCATCAAGTGGCTGCCACCCGCATGACCAACCAGGGCCGGGACAAACTGCAACCAAGGTATGTGCCCTTAGCGGGAACCAAACCGGGGTCTCTCCAAACCACAGGCCGACGCTCTAACCGCTGAGTCAAACCGGCCAGGGCTAATAACATTTTTTAAATGACACAGAGCAGACCTTCAAAAAAACAAAAAGCAAAAACAGAACTCATGGTGAGACAAAATATCACTCAATAAATACATATTTTTAAACCAAAAATAATTTAATTGCTAAGGGAACAAACCGGAGAGCTGGCCTACCAAAAGACTTTGTTTTGCCTGGGTGTGTATTCTTCCCACACAGTTGGTGGGCTTTGGAAGAATTATAAAAAAATGAAGCTAGGAAAAAGCAAAAACATATATCCTTTATGACGGCAATAATATGTGCACCTTCTACAATCTCTTCAAACTCAGTACATTCTCAACAGAAGTAATCACCAGGGAGGGGATGTGTCACCTTCCAGTAGGTCACACAGCTAAAATCTGGAAGTCATTCTGGGCAACAGCTTTTCTCTTACCCCCTGCAGATGATCAATCACCAAGTTAGACTAATTTTATCTCTTAACATTTCTCAATCTGTGACCCTTTACTCCTAAACCCTCGACATTCTACTCTTTTCCTAAGCACTCTCACTCACATCCAGCTCCTCAGTTACCACCTAAAGGCAGTGACTGTACGCTGTACTATTTCCAGTTCTTTCTCGAAGGTCCAGACCCACTTAGACCACAGCCTACTCAATAGCTCCCTTGAGTGTCTCAAAAGCACCAAGTACTCAGCTTATCCATGACCAAACTCATGATCACACTCCTAAGCCCAGTTTTCCTCCAAAGCTACTTTATTTCGTTGAATAGTATTACCATCCAACCAGTTGCATATACCCAAAAGCCGAGCTTCTTTGACCTTGCCACATCCCTCACCCCTCATTCAATCTAACACTAAGATCTGTGGATTTTACCTCCTAAAACTCCTCGAATCCATCCACATCCCCCACCATGCTGCCTGTGCCTACTTGCTATCTCACCTGTATTTCCTCACCTGCCTGCTGACTGTCTCTCCTGTGTCTGCAGCGGTCACTCTGTGCGCAGCAGCACAGTGAGCGTTCAGAAATGTAAGCCACATCATGCTACTGTCCTGCTCTCAACCTCTCTGGCTGCTCACCATTGTTCTTAGGGCAAAATCCATACTCTTCACTATAGATTGCATATTCCTACCCGATCTTAGCTCCTGACTACTTCTCCAGCTTTTTAACCTACCATGATCTCCCTCACTTAGCACAAGTCCAGCCAGCATGTGTGCTCTCTATCCTTCAGACATGCCGCCGCCCATCTGTTACAGGGCTTTCCCTTTGGCTGCACTCTCCGCCTCAGAAAAGCTCGCTCGTTCCGTCACTCAGTTAATACTTCCCGACGATCAGCATCACTATCATCGGAAGCTCTTCCTGACCCGTTGTCATCTCAACAGGTCCTTGCCTGCTTGATCTCTTCATTGCATTGATCTCCTTGGTTACTACTCATTGGCAGGCTAGCTAATACAACTCTGCCTCCTCCCGCCTCACCGCCATGTTCTCGGGGCTCAGCACAGGACCTGGCCTTGTTAGACACTGAGTGAAGAGTCACTAAGTGACTGCCTAGACAAGAATCCCTACTTCTTCCATCAAAGTGCAGATTATCCGCATTCTTCTGGACATGCTTAAATTGTCCAGGCCTCCAGACCCTCTTCAATCCCTGCTCAAACCATCTCAAAACTGTCACCCATGACAGATGCAGCCTTGTCACTCTGGACTTGCACCCATCCCAGGACCCTTCAGAGGCTGCATGATAAAATCTGTGTGTAACTGGCTCCCTTGGCCTTGCCTCTCTGGCCTCAGCTTCCAGCCCTCCTCACCGTGTACTTGCACACGTGCTAACAAGATTAGTCTTACCTCCAACATAAGCTCTGGGGGCAGACACTTGTATGTTTTGCCTTATACTATCCTCTCTGCCCTCTTCACTCTTCTTTATTGCTGTAAACCCTACTCACCCTTCAAAACTCAGCTGAGGAGGTATTTCCTCTTGGAAGCCCACCAGACCATTTACTTGCCACCCTTGTGGCTGCTTGTGAATCTTTCCTGCCCCCAGACACTGTCTGTAACTCTGTCCTTACCACATGCTGTTAAGATGATCTCTAGCTCAACCACCACTAGGCTGAGAGCTCCTCAATGGGGGAAAAAATGTGTTATTTTTAAATTTTTTTATTTACAAGATTTTTTAAAAATTTGGGGCAAATAAATGTTTATTTCAATGATATAAAAGGTAGACTTTTGGACTCAGTGATCTCTTGAGGTATTACTCTTCAGTTGCCTTTGAAATTTCACCTTTCAAAGAATTTCCTCCAGCACCAATAAAACTAAAGTCTGGTAGTTGTCAATCATTCAGTTCACACACAGATTTGGGCCTGATGTAGGCCAGGCACTGGGTTAGGTCCTAGGGATTCAACGGTGAACAATACAAAAAAGTGCCTACTACCCTGGCCGGTGTGGCTCAGAGGTTAGAGCATTGGCCCACGGTCCAGAGAGGCCTGGGTTCAGTTCCCACTAAGAGCACATATCTCGGTTGCAGTTTGTCCCCAGTCTGCTTGGGGTCATGTGAGTGACAGCCAGTCCATATGTCTCTCTCACGTTGATGTTTCTCTCTCTCTTCTTCCCTCTCTCCCTCTCGCTCTATCTAAGGATGAATGCAAAAATGTCCTCAGGTGAGGATAAAAATTTTGTTTAAAAAAGTGCCTACTGTCAGTTATATCACTTAGACAAAACCAAATGCATATCAATCATAAAAGCTAGTGCAATTGGTTTTCATAACTAAGGGGCTCCAGGTGGGATGCGGGAAGCCATCCGCGCCGACCTGTCTCCTAAGAGCCACGCCATCTAGAGGTCTCTCTGTAGCCCCAGTGCGTGAAGTCTGACCGAAACTGGTGACAACACGAAGTCCGCATCAAAGGTATGGAATCATTCACCTAAAACCTACTTACTGCTAATAACCATGTTACCCCCAATAAATTTAATTTAAAAATAAAGATATATTTAGCCTTCAGTTCTTCCCATTTATTAATTTCCTATTATCTATCAGTAAATATAGAAAACAACTCTCTACTGGGGGGGAAAAAAAGCAAAAGGCAACCTAGCAGACACTCCTACTGAATGTGTTTAGAAAGAAAGTGCCTTGCCCGGCGGTGGGCTCAGTGGGTTGAGTGTCCCCGGGGAATGAGAGGTCCCTTTTCCATTCCTGGTCAGGGCACATGCCCAGGGAGCGGACTCGTCTAGTTGGGTCGGGCAGGAGGCAGCCAATCAATGTTTCTCTCTCACATCAATGTTTCTGTCTCTAATACATCAATAAAATCATATTTTTAGAAGAAGAGAGAGAGAGAAATGCTTTCTAGGTCTGAAGCCTGAGTTCAGGCTCGGTTTCTGTCACTGACCAGCTTTGTAGGCCTCAGTAAGTCTCTCCTCTTGGCCCTCTTGAGCTAAATTAATATTTGGAGTTTCTTCTACCCCTAAAATTCTGCTTTAAAATTTCTGGGTCACATATTCAAGAAAACTAACTGCGTTGGGTTGAAAACTAAAGCCACAGGGGCATCAGGCTTCCTGGAACCAACTGGAGGCTGCCGAGGCACCCCGGGGCGGAGGGGGAGACCCAGGGCCCAGCAGGGCACCCCGGGGTGGAGGCAGGGGGCGGCCCAGGGCCCACCGAGGGTGCCCCGGGGTGGACGGAGACAGTGATCCACAGCACCCACCACCTGTTAAATGCCTAGTCTTGGGCAGGCACCCCCAGCTGCTCTGTGTACATGATATCACTTAATTTTCATAAACAAACCCAGACGTTGGGTGTGTTTCTTCCAGTTACAGCTGACCGAGGGTTTGAGCATTCTCTTCTCTCGGGGGCGGAAATGACACCGCTTGTGCCCTTTGCCTCATTCTTTCTACCCTGTGATCCCATCATGACCGCCCAATAGCCCGCTGGCCTTCGGGAACCCCAAGATCAGGAGTCGCCGCTCTCCCAGCCAGACAGCATCACGGAGCTGAGCGGAGAGCAGGCAGAGGGTAGGGCAGACTTACTGACGTGCGCAGTGATGCCGTGTGACACCCGGTACTGTCTCCCTGTGCGTGTCAGCCTGGCTTCACATATGTAGTGCCCCCTGTCTTCTGCCGAGACGTTGTTCACTGAAAGGTGATTTCTCCAAGGAATAAACCGCTCTCCTTTAATCTCTTGACAGTTCTAAACACCAAGACAAAAGAAAGAAAAAGAAAGAAAGAAAGAAAGAGAGAGAGAGAGAGAGAGAGAGAGAGAGAGAGAGAAAGAAAGAAAGAAAGAAAGAAAGAAAGAAAGAAAGAAAGAAAGAAAGAGAAAATTCAATTCAAAGAGTATCTTGGGTATCAGTTACATTTCTAGTTGGCACCATTATATAAACTGTGAGGACGTACAAGAAAGCTATGTGGTCCACAGACGTTAGGTAGTTTGTAACCTAACTGAAGACTATACCCACGAATCTCTCCAGAAGAGCTGACAAAATGAATGCTTAGCAGGCTGACATGAGTGTTACAAATATGTCTAATGGGAGCTGAATGGGCAGTGTAGGCTGGACGACTTCATGGAGGAAGGCTGAGGTTGAGCCATAAATGAGTCTGGTAGGAGGACATGAACAGGCAGGAAGGTCTCCCACCTGCAGTGGCCCATCTCTCCCAATGGGCCGCCAGTCATGGCACCAAGACCCCTGCCAATGGCTGCCTCCACTGTGTTACAGGCCCTATTATGTCTGCACCTGTTGAGGGCTGGACTTTGAAGAGGTCAAAAATAAGTCATGACCAACATTTACTTGGAAGCCTGAACCATAGTGGAGTCTCTGACTGGGCTGATGAACAGCAGATGCCGTGTCACCTCTCCCGTCTCCCGTCTCCTATGGCAGCAACAGAACCAGCCTCGCACCAAACCCACCGGAAGGCTAGTTAGTCTCAGGGACACCTTTCTCACCCGCATCGTCAGTGGCCACCCAGAAGGCAGGTCTCGCCATCACCTGTCTTATCAGAAGTTCACATTCTCATGCTAATTTCCACTTCTTCCACTCACAGACCCACTTCTGGACTCTCTCAGATCTTTTCCCCTTTCTTCGGGAAGCTCTGCTCTACAGAGTGACCTCTTGGACAACGGTGTCCATCTTCATCATCCAACACGAGAGCTCCTGCCCTCTGCTGGCTGTGAGAGGCCTGCGTGGCGCCGAAGCAGGCGGGCCCCTGGCCTCAGAGAGCTCAGCCGTGATGGCAGAGAAGACAAATACGCTAACCCTTAATTTATAAATAAAGATTTAATTGCCCACGTTTTGGACCTTTTTCTCTGCCACCAGAGCAGTGTTAACAAACTGATCTCAGAAGGGGAAATTCAATGATGCCGGAACAAGCACTTGTTTATCTACAATGTGAACTACAGCTTCCTAGAAACACCTTCCCTAGAAACACTTTCTCTATAAACACCTTTATGGGAAACAGTCCTAATTGGGCAATGGCTTACCAAGTGGAATGGGAATTAATAAGAGCCAGGTAGGCGAAGGCATCAGATTCTGGTAATGTGATGTTGCGTCCTTCAGGGTAGAAAAACAAACAAAGCAAATCTTTGGACTGTGGAAACCTCTTCCTACATGGGCTGAGATGGGCACAATCTCTGGGCCTCACTTCCTATGTTTCCAATGCTGACCAGTCCCCTTTTCAATGGTCTCATTCTTTCTTTCAGGATGTACAAGTATTAACCATATTAAAGTTTAGTTTTGCTCTCTTAGGAGCCATTCTATCTTTTTATTGTAACTAGCTGGGCCTCTACTGTACTCCACGAAGCATTGTTTTAGAGTCTAAATTCTCAGAAGGCTTTGATTTTTATTTAACAATTCTTGAGTGATAGATAGCTCATGAATCAGATTTAAAACGAAAGTGTTCATAATAAAGGCAGCCAACATTTGAATGTGTTTCATATTTCAAGTACCAAAAAGAACGCTCCTGATGCGGCATGTTCAACAGTTTGGAGGCATAAAGTAGCCAGAGCACCTGGCTGGGTGTGGGCGTGGGGGAGATGAAGAAGAAACCAGTGCACAGGCCAGAGCCCAGTGATAGAAAACCATGGAAGGGGGTGAACATTGAAAGCCTTCTAAGCAATGGAATAAGATAATTACATTTGCATTTGAAAGTAATCTATCTGGTTATGTGGGAAAGGATTAATGATGGGACGATCCAGAAACTAAGAAAAAATTTAGGAACTTATTTCCATAAATTAAGGCTAAATAGAGCGCAAACTAAGGCCATACAGCTACGACAGCAAGAAGAGAACACAAAACATTATTTTAAGCAATTCCACAGAATTTAGTGACGAATTTGGGACATGGAGAGGGAACAGACCTCCATGACCCCAACTTGGTTATCAAAAGTACTGTCAGAAAGTAGAGAAAATGCGAAGAAAATACAAGTGAATGATCAGATTTGGTGTAAGATACAAGTGGTTGTGAACATGGTGACTATGGCTGAGGGTGGCGATGGGGTGTCTAAGTAGAGCACATGTTAGCTTATTGACAAAGTATCTGGAGGTTGAAAGATCCAAGTGGGAGAAGGAGAGATGGGAGCCATCTGTCTATGGGTGGTTCTATCTGAGCCATCCCCATTAGAATGTAATCAAAGCAAGAATAGAAGATGACCATGACTGAAATTGAAACCCAAAAATCTAAGATCCCAATATAGAGGATGAGAATCCAGTGATGATTACTAAGGAAGGACCAGGAGAGAAAAACAGAGATAAGAAATGAGTAAGTCTCGGGTAGAAAGAAGAGGGAGTTCTCAGCTGACAGGAATGTGCAGCAGTTATGAATGCACCAGGAGACCAAGCTCAGGATTGAAAATAAATCTTTGATTTGGCAGCTGGGAAGCCAGCAGTAACCGCAGCAAGGGCAGACCCAGCACAGTAGTGAAGCAGAAATTATTGTATTGAGAAGTAATTTGGAATTGAAAAAAAAATGGAGACATTACTGCTTTTCCAAGTGTAGGTACTTCCCTATATATCTACAAGACTGGATGTTTTAATACCCAAACATTCCCCCCCATAACCCCTTCAATTTCAAGGACAACCTTTATTCTGCTCAGTTTTCAATTCTCTTAGCCACAGCTTGAATTTTGTCATTGTCCATAGCTACTATGTCTCTAAACCCTTAAAAACAAATGTACCTTTCTGATTATAATTTTTTATTATGCCACCATTTCATTCTTTTATTTTTACCAAATAATAATATCTAATAATGTTTATTAGGTAATTACTATGTACCCACACTGAAGTAAATGCATAGTAGATAGATTATTTCATTTAATCTTTAAAACTCTATAAGATCATATCTCTCAGACTGGAATTAATTGCAAGAAACAAAAAGCATTCTACCTATTTAAGGCAGAAAAGGATTCAACACAGGATATTAAGTGCTTACAAAATACTAAGAAGTACTCATGGAATGAGGTCTAGCCCAGAACCACACTGTAGAACTAGCTCGCATAATAACTGCTACTTCTTCCACAATCATGACAGTGGGACCAAGATTTGGAAATATACCACCTGCAAGTCAGAGACTAGCAGTGGCCAGTTCTGCAGTCCCAGTGTGTGAAGTCGTGCCACATCTATAGAGCCCCCCAACAATAATTCAGGAGACATATGCGCACGCCCGGACTAGACCCTGCAAGTCCACTGCAAAAGTCCCCACAGCCCGGAGGACAAGCAGGAAGCTCCCCCACCCCCACGTTAGCCTGCCAGTGAAGCCTGGGGAGACACTGAATTGCATCCAGAAGCTTCCCTGCAGGCAACTCTCGAAAGCGTAGGGTGTGTCTTTGGTTGTTCTGTCTTATTTTCAGCTTTATAGTCTCTGTAAAGAGGCTCACCATGGATAGTGAGTGTTTCCCACCATATCTGTCATCTTTTTCTACCTGAATTTTTTATCCATCTAACCCATTCATCTTAAGTTGTATAGATCCTCCTAACCTTTTATTGTCTCCTAATTTCCAGTTTCCTTCAGGCATTATTTCCTTTCCAACCCAACCTAGACTCATGTGGCCATCACGTTCATCGCCTCCCCTTTCAATCACTTTCAATCAATCACTATAGCCCTTTATCCTCCCAGCATATTCATCCTGCAGAACCCACACCCAGTGGATCCTGTCACCCTTTCTTACAGCCAGATGAGCACCATAGGAGATAATCCCGTGAATATGGGTTTGGTACCACTACAAACTCAAGGTCTTCCCCTTAGAAACACTGTGTTATCTCCTACAGCATTCTCTCTTACCTTTTCACCTACGTTGCTTTTTCAAATTTTCTATATAACATCTTCCAGTTAACAGAGAAAATAGAAGCCATCACAAATAAATGACCTTCATTTACCCTCCATCTTTTCCTTCATTCTATCAGTTCTACTTCATACTCTTTTAAATGATCCTCATTTCTTAATTAAATTTCTAAAATAGCCTAAATAATCAACTTGCCAACATTCTCAAACCCTTCTAATTTATTCACTGCGGTGCCTACATGAAATATTAAGTTCATCACATAATTATCCTGGGGAGAGGTTAGCTGTTAAAACACCATGAGTAGGGAAAAGGCTATGTGTGAGTTACCATCCACGGCCTTCCTAACATCACCTTAGCCCACTCTTACATGTACCTAAACTCCCACCAGTGCCCCAAACCCCATTCCTTTTCTCCCTGACACATCTCACACCCCGTTTCCTGAATTCCCATCCTTTCCTTCCTTCCCCCGCCAGGTTAACTGCTATTCATTCTTTAAACACAGTTCACATTCATCTTCTCCGAGAAACACTTCCTCAGACGTTCCTGTGCCTGACCCAATGTCGCCTTCTTTATGAGCACCTCGGGCTGTGACAAATGTTCCGTTCGCTAGTCAGCCTCCTCTGGTAAACTGCAACTTCCATCATGTCCCCTGTGCCTGGCCCAGCACCAGGCAGATAATAAGCTCTAGATATTTTGATAATTTGTCCTCTCATTTTATACATGAAAACACCAAGGCCCAAGGAGTGACCCAAGATGACTAGTTAGTTTCAAAAACAGAGCCATAACTGAGGTCAGTGACTCTGGGAAGGTGGACACTGCAGAATGATCCTTCCTCCCTACATTGCTTGCTTCTTAGCTTGCTCTACCTTCTCAAACTGAGTGGTTATTTTAAAAATAAATATGTCTGAGTCTCACTCATGCACAATCTGAGTCAGTAGTAGAGAAGGAGGCCAACCATATGCTTTTTAAAAGGGTCCATTGGATAAAATTTGCTGCCACTGAAGACCAATCATCAGAGCCTGAGTTCAGCTCCACATCTTAAAGAAATTGAAATTCATTTCAGCCCTGGCCGATTTGGCTCAGTGGTCAGAGTGTCAGCCTGCGGTCTGGAGAGACCCGGGTTCGGTTCCCGCTAAGGGCACGTACCTCGGTTGCAGTTTGTCCCCGGCCCTGGTTGGGTTGTGCGGGTGGCAGCCACTCGATGTGTCCCTTTCACGTTGATGTTTCTCTCTCTCTTCCTCTCTCTCCCTCCCACTCTATCTGAACAAAAAATGGAAAAATGTCCTCAGGTGAGGATAAAAAAAAAGAAAGTCATTTTAAATAATGGTAAGTACTATAACACTTTTTAAATTGCTAACCATCCCCCAGTTCCTCAGAGTATGATCACACTGGAATGGGGGAGAATAGGTTTTATCCTCAGGCTAGTGGGCTTGAGTTTGAAAAGCCTTCTAAAATTATGTAGTCTAAATTCTCATTTTCTTCTTTTTAATATGTTTTTATTGAGTTTTTAGAGAGAGAGATAGGAACATTGATGTGAGAGAGATATCTGATCAGCTGCCTCCTGAACGCCCCCTACTGGGGATCAAGCCTGCAACCTGGGCATGTGCCCTGAGCGGGATTCCACCCGGGATCTCTCAGTTCATGGAACAATACTCCATCCACTGTGCCACACCCGCTGGACCAAATTCTCATTTTCTAAGTGAGAAAATTAAGGCTCAATACATCTGCATCTTGACAGTGGAATAGTGGTAGAGTTGATTCTAAAATCTGCCTCACACCCTTGACTACAACAGGTCCAGACCAAGAGGGAGAACTTGCCAGAAGACCCCTACCGTCAGGACCTGGAAGGGTCATGACACCGATGCCAGGAGGTGGCTGCTGAGAGGCTGTGAGGTGGGGTGGAGGCATCCGAGGACAAAGGCTATGAGACACCCAGAGGAGGGTGCACCTGAGAAGATCAAAACTGGACTTTAGAAACTAGTGATGCCACACTTAAAAATCTACAATCATTTCAGGTTACTTTTGCATGTCTTTCTAAGTAACTAAAAGAAAAAGAAGGGGGGGAAAGTACATTTGAAGGCTTGAATAACATAATTAACAAACGCAAATTTCAGTGCTCACATTGTTTTGAATAAACGTGGGGCCTTTACAAAAGTGGAGCATATGCCAGACTCGCCAAGTTTCAAGTGCTTAAGGCACAGAGCGGATTCTTTGCCACAGTGTAACTAGGCTGAATACCACACAGAAAAGTATCTTTTTAAAAGTCCACTACATTTGCAAATTAGGCAATTCTTAAAAATAGTCCACAGTTGAAAAAAGAAATAACGTGAAAAACTAGAAAATACTTTTAACTGAATGATGAGAATATAATATATCAAAAGTGTAGAAAGCTGCTAAAACTGAATTTAAAAGAAAATGACAACTTGATATGTATAGAGTAGAAAAGAAGAAAGGCTTATAGTTGATGAAAATATCCATCTCATAAAGTTATTAAAATAACAGCAAAGTAAAACCAAAGGAAACAGAGGGGGAACATACTAGATTAGAGCAGAAATTAATGAAAGATAGAATTAACCAAGTTAGTACTTTGAAAAACTTATTCAAGATAATAAACACCTGGCAAGAGTTATTGACAAAAACAGAGCGAGATGGCAACACATGGCGCAGATGCGAATAGGAAGACATTGCTGCAAACCCGACAAACACCACAAAGGTAATAAGAGCATATTTCAAACGATTTTAGATCAACACTTTAAAAATCATATAAATAAAATGAAAATTTCTAAACAAACACAATGTGCTAAATCTGCTACAAAAGAAAGAAGTAAGATATACAGTGTCATTTGCTTATGCAGCATTATACAAGGGAAATGCAAGAATGCAGAGAACACATACAAGTAGCCCTAGGTTAGGGACGGTGCCACAGGGACACATGGGTCAGCAGTGGGAGGGAGACCTCCCAGGGTGTGACTTTTATGCTTTGTGATTATTGACCCCTGTGCATGTAGCACCCATTCAAACAAACTATTAATTAACATGTTAGAAAAAAGAAATAGTCAAGGATAGTCTAAAAAATAAGCATACTAGTGGGGAGGTGGTAGATACAAATAATAAAATATTACAAAGATATAATATCCATAAATTTTAAAATAAAGGATTAACAGGTAAGATTAGCAATGGCAATTAGCTAACAGTGCTGTCTTAGGTGCACAATCTCTATCAATTTTGCCTTAAAAACATAACTTAAATTGAAAAAACAAGTGGGTTTTGAAGAAAAAAAGAGAAAACATTAATAGAAGAATCCTTTGTTTTGTTTTACCTTATACCACTTGAATGAGTCCAAATGAAAACTCTTCGGGAAGGTCAGATAACACACCAGACTGTTATCCACTCCGTCATGTAATATTTGTTGGTTATCACCTGATACGTTCATTGGACTGTTCCCAGGAGTGCCACACCAACGTGTTTCCAACACGGTTATGTTTACATGTGTTTGGTGACATGTATTTGTACTACTGTAAGAAAATAACAGGTTGAAACCTCATCAACTGAAACAATCACCAAATGAAATGATTCCATTCATCTGCAGATATGGCAGCCACCCTCAAGGTGCCATGCACACCCTCTGCCTCGAACCCAACGGTACATGTCATGAGTGTGCACACCTCGCTGTTACAAGGGGATATTTACATAGCAGACCCTGCAGAACACCTTGACCAAGTGGCCAATGTGAACGTCACCAACGAGGGATGGACGGACACCGTGTGCCTCTGAGTGTTGTCTGAAGAGGACACAAGCCACTGTCGTAGAAGTCCAACCAAGGAGGCTCATGGAGAAATATCTGGCAAACCCAAATTAAGGGATATAGTATAAAATGACTGCCTGTACTCCTTCAAAATGTCAATGCCATGAAGAACAGACTGAGGAACTATTCCAGATGAAAAGAAATGAAAAATATGTGACAAACAAAGGCAATGCATGATCTTGAATTATATATTATACTGGAAAAAAAGGAAAACAATTATATTGGTCATCATTGTGAGGATTAATACAATTGGAATATGGATGGATTGAGGGTTAGATGAAAAATATTGCATGACAGAAAATTTTCCTAGATGTGTTAACTATCCTGTGATTATGCAGAAATATTTCTTTATGATGATAGAAAATAACATTGAAATAGTAAAGGTCAAGGGAGATGATGCATAGAACTCAAGTGATATGGGAAAAAAATGATTTAAAAAATACATTGTGTATACAATGTATTTATATATTTGAAGAGAGAATAATAAGAGAAATGTGGCAAGATATTAAATAACAGAATATAGTTAAAGAATAATGAGAGTTATTTATTCTTGCAAATTTTTTGTGAATTTGAAATTATTTCAAAGTAAAAATATAGTTTACTAAATATATATCATATCTATACGCAAAATTTTGTGAAAATTAGTGTTTATTTTCTTCCATGACAGACAATATCCATGTTTACTTTCTATAAAAGATGGTTTTCCCCATTGCTCAGCTCCCAGATTTAAATGTTCTAAGTCCAGCCTAGATTTCCGGGTGAATTTGTGTTCCACATCACCTTCGACTCCGCTGTCTGTACCGAGACTGGCCGGGACAGAGGCTCTCCATGTCGCCAGCGGCTTGGTCCGAGTAGTGGGCGAAACTGTGGCAAGGGGCGGGGTGGGTGGATAATGGCCACTTCCACTTGTGCACCACTAAGTAATTCTGTCCCTCAAGTTGATCTGACATATAAAAATGAGTAGCCTGGCATGAATCAGAGTGGGACACAGAAATGGACCAGCAGGTATCACAGCAACAAAACAAGGGAGAGGGATGCGACTTCATTCCGGGGGCAGCTACTTCACACATGATCTCAGCTAATTTTCACTTCAACCCTATCAGGCTGGCATGGTTTCCATTTTACATTTAAGAAAACCAAGCCTCCAGCCGGTGTGGCTCAGTGGTTGAGCGATGAACCCTGCACCAAGAGGTTGCCGGTTCGATTCCTGGTCAGGGCACATGCCCAAGTTGTGGGCCCAATCCCCAGTGGGGGCATGCAGGAGGGGGCCAATCAATGTTCTCTCTCATCGATGTTTCTATCTCTCTCTCCCTCTCCTTTCCTCTCTCTCTAAAAAATCAATAGAAAAAAATAATAAAAAAAGAAAACCAAGCCTCAGGGAGATCAAATCATTTGTTCAGGCCATGCATGTTAGTAAGGGAAGATGACAAAATTAGGGCCCTTAGGCAAAATTTGGTCCACAGAAGCGTTTTATTTAGGCCACATACACAAAGCCTGTAAAAAAAGTTACACACATACACTCTAATTTCCAGGTTTCCTTGAAATTTTGGAAAATAGACTTAAGCCGAGGCACCTGTCTTCAGTTCACCACAGTCCCCCTGGGCTCAGGGGTCTCCCGCCAGACCTGTGTCATTCACTCACACAGTATCACTTTCTAGCACAGGGTCTGGAGCATACTGGGTGCTCAGTCACTGTTGAAGTTCCATAGCAGATGCCTTGCCGAAAGGCACTCCAAAGGGGCTGGTTCCTGTGGGCAGGAGCCTGTCCATCACAGACACTCCGGCAGTCAGGGGAGGAAGGCAGCAGCGATGAGGTGGGCTGCACCAGCTTTGTCCTCTGGTCTGGCTGTGGCATCGTTTCCATGGGGAAGCTGTTTCATGCTCCAACAACTGATTTACAAATCTGCTTTGTTTCAAAATGTGTTCATTGAAAATTGTCTTATAACGACTATAAAACTATACTGTATTCTTCTCATTGAATTTTCTACACTTAAGAATTTATTAAGAATTTTTGTAAAAGAAGCATATACATATAATTATAATATATACATGAGAGAGAGAACGAGAGAGTGTTAGTTCTATTTTAAGTGAGGAACTTACTTTATAACACACTGGTAGATCCCAGAGTCCCCCTGTGTCAGGGGGAGAAACAAAATCCAGTTTTGATCTTGGTAAATTCTAGACTGTATGTTCTTGGATACAGGAATTTTGCTGGGATATTTATACCAAGTCACACGGGCTTTTCCAGGTGTTAGCCAAGGGTATGTGCAATTGAAAGCGAACGGCTGGTTTGCCGAAGGTGTCTCATTTTCCACATGAATATCCTGGCATTCATCTAGGGAGAGAAAAGGAAACAACCACCATTGAAAAGAATTCTAGTGTTATTTATTAATAGTTTTAACAAATGTCTCAAATTCCTAGCCAATTTTATTTGAGAGCTTTCTCGGTGTGGGAGTCTCCTAAAAAAAAGTCCGTTGATTTGAAAGCATAATTCAAAGTCCTTTCAATGTGTCCATAGGACAGATTTTACTGTTTCCTCTCCGTCTTCTTCACCACCTGGAATGATGCCCTCTGTCCCTTCCATTCTAAACCTCCATCCTTTCGTCCCCCTGTGGGAAGAAACAGCCCTCCTCTCGGCCCTCTTCGTCCTGTTTTCTGTCACCCAGCTTTCCCCCTCCGCCTGAAATTAAAGGTGCATCTCATCCCAAAAGGATTATTTAAAAATCTGCTCCCTTTAAAGTTCTTTTGTACCAAATCGCTTATTTTTTTTCTTGGGAGAAATTTGTTCTTTTGATGCTTTCTTTGCTTTTACCTTGGGTCATAAAATGACTGTCAGATAAACTAAGCAGTATTACACCCATTGAGCGTCCGGCTCAGGTCTTGAGTTGCAAATTTGCCTAATCCTCAGCCTCTCCAAATTGCCCACAAAGCTCCAAGGCGACCTTTGGGCCGAGCGGCGGAGACCCCCGGGCGCTCTGGGAAACGGTCCTCAGCGCCGCTCCGAGCCCGGGGCCATCTCCACAGGGCGCACCCCAGGCTCCGCAGAGCCGCGGGAGGCATGCGGTGAGGGTGGCCCGAGAGCCCAGGACAAACCCAACATACCTGCTCTGATAAAATGAGGAAGCGCGATGGACAAACCGCACAGCAGCAGGGACACCGCCCCCATATCAGGCTAAAAGGGAGAGAGAAGAGGGTGGGAGGGGAGGAGGCAGGGACCGGCTTCTGCGACCTCTGAACCTCAGGTCCCAAGTCAGGTCAGTGACCTTCCCTTCTTCGTGGGGAGCCCTCCAACTTTGGCCCCACATTTACTAGACGTGCCCCCAAACCTACCCCCTCCCCTGACCCCTTCCTGTTCTCAGGGATCCTGGGCGGAGAGGGGTCCGTGGGTCCGCGGGAGGGCGCAGGCGGGGAAGCAGGGTAGGTAGCTGCAGGATGGGGTCTTCCCTTCCAGGACGCGCCTTCAGTTCCTCTGGGGCATCGCCCTCTGCCAGCTGGCAGCCCGGCAGGATCGGCCTCGCAGCCCTGCGAGCGGCACACCTCCCAGCCCGCCTCTGCCGAGGCCCACGTCCCCATCGTGACTCCCGCCCTGCGCGACCTTGCCTGAGCGGCCTGGGCTCCGCAGGGCCCGTGCCCTAAGCCTACGCTCCAATACCAGCTCACCCGCGGAGAGCCGGCTCACGGGCGCCGGGCCACGGCCGGCAGGAACGCGGCAGGAAGGCGGAGCGCTGCTGGATGCGCAGGTGGCCGCAGGCTCCACACCTTCGCCCAGAGCTGGGTCCGCTCCCCCACGACTCGCCCGGGAGTCCCGATCTCTGACCCCCCGGTCGCGCACAGGTTCGCCTCCTCTTTCCCGGCACACTTACCGTGGGCGCCCACCCGCGGGTGGCACCGCCGGACTCCCAGCCCATGCCTACCCGCGGGACGGGATCAGAGCGCGCAGGAGTTCCGGGGCGCGGAGGACCTGACCCCCAGGGACTGGGCTCTGCCAGGCATTTCCCTACCGGGCTGTTTCTTGGCCACGTGGGCGGGGCGGGCCTGCCTCCCCAGAGGGAGTGTAGGGAGACACAAGGAAGTGGATCTGAGGGCTTGTTGCCGAATTTTCTGGCCGCTGACCAGGAATGTCTGCTGAAGTCTGTTCTGAATTGTCCTTGTAAATGAATTATGTGTTCCTTTCCACGCCACATGTGAGCAGTTATTACTGCCCTGCACTGGTCCGCATTGCACACCCCAAAGTGGAAACCATTCCAGATGGCTGTAAGAACTATCATTTATCTGCTGGAGTCATGCTCCTTAAGTCTGAGCAGGCATCATGCCTGGGTGATGCTCAGGTTCCCGGAGCACAAAGACTGTCCGTGTCTGAAACTTAGAACTAGGAGGCCATCCGCGGCCCTGCTGCTGGCCATCAGGTGAGCCCCAGAGATAGCCCTTGGGGCATTGAGACAGAAGAAACTACAATGTGCAATCAACATTCAAGAGATTCCTGCCCTGGCCGGGTGGTTCAGTCGTTTGGAGGATTGTCCCCTGCGCCAAAAAAGGTAGAGGGTTCAATTCCTGGTCCGGCCCAAAGGGAGGAAACCAACTGATGTCTCTCTCTCTCCCCATCCCCTCTTTCCTCTCTCTCTAAAATATCAGTAAAAACATATGCTCAGCGAGGATTTAAGAGAGAGGGTGGGGGAGGGAGAGAGAGAGCGGGAGCCTGGACAAGCTACCCCTGGTGGTCTCTGCGTGGTCTGAGACCGTGAGCGGAGACCACAGGGGCAGGGGACGGATGAAGCCATTGCGTCGCCGCAGCTCCTCCCGAGTGCGGCTGCTCACCGCGGTGTGCAAATGTCCACACTGTTCAAAACGATTCAGGGCTCCAAAGTGCTTTCATTCATGTGGGTTTTGTCTGTCATTATTTATTACATTAGAAATTAAAATATAGGGTGTTTTAAAGATTTATTTTCTTATTTATTTTCAATAACAACAATAAATTCACTATATGTGAACATAAACATCAGACATTTTATGAAAAATAACCATACTTTCCAAAACAAACAGACTTCCTGAGAAAAGTGATATGGTTCTACGAACACTACATATGCGTGTTCACTATTTGGAAATCTCTTTAATGTCTAACCTGCCTCTGCACCTAATTTCTTATGGTGGAGCCTGCCACGCAGCCTCCTGAAAGTCCGCTACACACTGGGCAGAACCCCTTTGGCAGCTGTAAGTGGAGATCTTTATTATGTTCCCCTAACATCAGCACTAAATGAGTTTCCTCCGTACACAAGGTTTATGGCCCCACACAACACAAAACAAAAGAGCTACTATAAAAAATGTCAAGTGACTTGCACTTACAAGTATTGTTATAAGCATTGTTGAAAGTTGTTTCTAAATTTTTTTTTTTTGGTATGTGCCCCTAGCGGGAACCGAACCCGGGACTCTCTGGTCCGCAGGCCGAGGCTCCAACCGCTGAGCCAAGCCGACCAGGGTGATTCTAAATCTTTTGGGGTTTGTTTTTTTTTTTCCGTTTCTACCTTATGAAGAGACAAACCTGTGCCTGATCTTGTTTTTTATGGTTTGAGGATCAGTATGTGTCCCAAGGCTGTCAGTCCAGTTGCCCCAAAGTTCATGCAGTTGAGGGGCTGTCCCAGCCCCCTTCAGCAGCTCTCTCTGGGACATTCTGACATTTCACTTTGCTGGTGGGGCTACGGACCTAACACCTACACTCCCAGAGATGGTGTCCACCCGAAAGTGTTTCCTGAGACGTGAAAAACGAGCACAGGCTCTGAAACCAGAACTGATTTAGGGATTGTGCACTTTGCAACTAAAAATCCGAAAAACAAAATTTCTCTAGGTTCTCAATTACCTTGAAAAATTGAAACAACTGGATCGCACTGTTTGCTAAGGCGAATGGGGAGGGAGGAGACAGAATTTCTTTATGGAGGTTCCAGGTGCGAAAGCTCAGGTCCGCTTTGTTATGACCACGCAGAAATGCTGGTTTATGCTGAAATTCCCTAAATTGAATTACTTTATGTTTTCTCTCTAATTTTCACTTTTGATATTTTTAAATGTGTATCATGCAGTATATAAGAGCTAAATAACTTAAAACAAGTCAGACAGTATGTAAGCAAGACCCGCCACAGAAATAATAATTAGCAGTCTTTCTATTTACCCTGCTCCCACCCACAGGACTCAGTCCTCAGCTTGGTGCTTATTACCCCGCTGTGTGTGTGTGTGTGTTCCTCAAGGAATATAAAGTTTTTGTGTGTAGAATTTTTTAGTCTTTACATAACTATATACTTGTGTAAGTTGCTTTTTCTCACTCAACATTATATTTGTGAGATCCAAACACTTTGAAAAGTGTATTTGTGGTTCACCCAAGGTCGCTACTGTGCATATTCCACTGCATACATACACCCTATTATGTACCCATCTCCTTGGGGAATTTAGGTTGTTTCAAATGTATGTGTTCTTAAAAGTAGCGCTGTGGTGCAGGTTTTTGTAATATCCTCTTGTGTGGGTTTGTGAGAGGCTAGTGAGTGAAACTGCAGGATCGTTGGGGAGGTCCATCTCCAATTATATTAGAAAATCCCAAATTTTCTCCACATTTGGGTACTTTGGAGGAGCGGGTGCCATGCTTCATGGCTTGCCAATATTTGGTAATGTCCCACTTTTCCAGGTTACTAGTTTTGTCAGTCCAGTGATGTGAAAGCTATCTTCTGATTTTATCTTACGTTCCCCTATTTACTGTTCTGGTGGGCATCTTTGGCCATGCATATATTCTCTGTATGAATTTCCTTCTCATATGTTTGCCTTTTTACCCACTTGGTTTGTCTTCCTCTTATTAATTTGTAGAGAACTCATTAAAGTCTACCACTGATGTCTCATGTGGTTACCTCCAAAGGGAAGATGTACTTCATTGTCCTCTCTCTGGCAGGAATCCAAGTCCCAGCACCTCTCATTTACAAGGCAGAGATGACTAGACCCACTTTTCAGAGGTGACATTTGTAAAACTTCCTTAGCAGAGTGTCTGACATTAATACGTCCTTGACGTACTCAGAATTCTTTATCATCTTCCCAACAACTCCTTGTCACAGTCTTTTCAATTGCAGATATTTTTGAAATGGAAATATTCTTAGAAGTGTATGCTATTGGTCACAAGGAATGGGCAATGGGCTTTTTCCACTGGCTCATGGTTTTATGAAGTGAAGCGACTTCCTCTACAGATTCGTCACCTCTTCCTGAGAGAGGCGGAAAGCAACAACCTCTGCATGGTGGAGGAACTGCTGAGTTCAGATTTACTGAATTCACCTTCAGTCTACTTGATTCTCAAACCAGGATGTGTGTCTATTCAGAAGAGCAGCAAGGAAATCTTTTTATTAAACACTTCATACACAAATATATATTTTATTTAATGGATAGTACCTTTTATTTGTTCTAAGTGAATATCAGCTGATTTCCCAACTTCTGAAGAGAAAGTTTATAGTGAGGATAAAGTAGAAATATGTTTGCAGGTCTTGGTCAAATGTTCCACAACAGCTCTTAGGTTGGGGTAGGAGGTTGGGGCTCTCCCAAGATCTTTACACCTTTGAGGCCCTAAGACCTCACACTTTTTCTAAGGCACTTGAGAACACATCGCAGCAACTCTGTAGAACACTTTTGCTGCTGCAATAAAAACGAACTTCTAGACATGTGAGAAGCAGCAGGAGTGACGAAGGGGTGATGCAAAAAGCATTTGGTTTCCTGAGGTCTGGGCCTCGCTCCCTCAACCTCTGCTCATCAGTTCACTCGTTCACTCAAGTACGTCGCAGTTCCTATTGTGTGCCCGGTGATACTGTGCACCACAAACAAAGCTCACAGCCTAGTGTGTAGCAGTGGAGTGGGTACTGGGAAGGTGTAGGGGAAACACTGAATACAAAAGTTTAAAGAAAAGATTTCAGGTTAATGAGAAACACGGAAGACCTGAAATATGAAGGTAGAGAGAGCACTGGGCAGGCTTCTTACAAAGCTGACAGTCTGGCTGAGGCCTGAGGAGGGATAGGGAGCCCACCAGGGACACTGGTCAAGATGGCCGGTAGATAAATGCAGCATTGCGTCCTCCCACAGCCACATCAGAATTACAACTAAACTACAGCACAACCATCATTCAAAACCACCTGAAACTGAGCTGAATGGAAGTCCTACAGCTACGAGATTAAAGAAGCAGCCTCTTGGAGACCGGTAGGTGGGCAGAGGCGAAGACAGGCTGGTCCCACGTCCACGTGTGGCAGATAAAAATCAGGAGGAACACCTCGGCTGGGAAGGTCCTCCCTGAGGAGTGAGGGGTCCCCGACCCACACCAGGAGCCCAGCTCAGGGTTCCAGTGCCAGGAAGAGAAGTCCCCTCACGTCTGGCTGTAAAACCAGCGGGAACTGAGGCTGAGGGAGGCCACAGCTTCTGGGCCCCAGGCAGCTCCTCTTCCAGCACAGACTTACTCCAGCTCACTCCCTTTAGGCTCCAGTGTGGGGGAGGCAGCTTGAAAGTCACCGGAGACATACAGGAAGAACTGAGTCGTTTGGCATTGGGGTGAGGGCTGGAGAGGGGGCTTTCTCTCAGACAGATGTGCTGGCAGAGGACTTTGTTCCTTTGGTGAGCCCTTCCCCAAGGGCGGCAGATGACTGCCATATCTGGGACTCGATTTCAGGTCCCCTTTACATCACTGGTTATAAAGGTACTCTCCAGCTTCTTTTCAGCTGATTTTTCCAGATGATTTGTCTTTATTTTAGTTGTAATTCCAGCTTGGTCCTGGACGGTCTGTGTAGCTGCCATTAATTCTGCTGCCATTTTTCCTCTTTCAGCATGACATTTTTCAAAGCTAAATTAAATCATATCTTTTTTATGTTTTAAATTGTCTAATAGTTTTTAATTCTCTCTGTAATAAAATCCAA